GAAGGACAGGTTGAACTCGAAACCCCCGCGCTTGGCTACGCAGGAAGAGAAGAAACGTCGCGTTAGAAGAGTCCAAACCAAGGAGAAAAATGAGATTACATACGCAATGAGAACGACATTCTAAAACAGGGAAGGAACGACTGAACTACCGCTAGAACAGACAATTCTCTATCCATAGAAAGAATGAACTGTCAAGAAGAAAGACTTCTCAATGGTATGTTATTATACTGCCTTCCTAATGAATTCAGAAATTATACATTCCAAAGTTAATGGATTCCCAGAAAATGGTAGATGATCTGCTATTTTCAAAAACACACTATATATTAAGTTTTATGGGATACACATGAGCAGAAAATATTTAAATTTTGCAATACTCTCTTTTTCGCAGCTTGTTTCAGCCATATTCCTAAAGGTGAAAAAATGCAGCAAGTGATGAAACATTACTGAGAATCTGTAACTAACGTTCGGTATCAATAGTCAAGCAAGAAGAACAGAATTCTACAATAAAAACCCAAATATTTTACGTATTTACACAACGAAATTTTTGTGTACTCTCCATTCTAAATTCAGTGCTTCAACTAATCTTACACAGTAATTAAACAATTACATAAAAATTCTAAATCACTATTTATACCCTTTCATTCTTCCTCCTTCCTAACACAAATCACCCGAGATTCTTCAGCCTCCCCCTTTTCATCTCACATTATGTAGTAATTAAAGCAGCGCCTTAACTAATGAAATCACGTTCACACCAAACCTTTCATGCTAAATTGTAAAATAAAAAGTATGGCGATACATTTATATAACCTCTATTTCTACTCAACAGTTTGTGTGCTCACTAGATTATATATATGTTATATATATTATATATATTGTGTGTGTATATATATTATATATTATAATATACTATAATTATGGGTGAAATTCTGACCTCGGCATTGCATTAAAACTTGAGAATAGTCTTTTGTACAAATATCTAAAAGTCACAGATTTATTTTAAATAGTTTTACAATTCCTACTTTTCCATCTGTTGGACATTTATCTCTCCACATAGCATTATTAAATACATCTGAAATAAACTGCATTTTTGATGAACTGCAGTCATCCTCTCCGGGAAAGCAGTTAAAACGGCATCAGTCGCAGCACCAGCCATTCTGCACTTGGAGACCACGTTCAAAGCAAGTGAAAGCCAGGAGTGAGCAAGCCTAGGATTCAGGAGCTGCCTTCTCCCTAACCACGCAGCCAATGTCAGGAATTCCTCCACCGATGTCAGAGGACTTCCACGCCAGGGAACAGGAAACACCACCCAGATCCTCGAAAGTACTCAGCTCTTTACTTTTGCAGTTGGAGTAGACGATCCTTGTTGGTCCCTTCCAACTGAAGTATCCTATCCTATCCTATCCTATCCTATCCTATCCTATCCTATCCTATCCTATCCTATCCTATCCTATCCTATCCTATCCTATCCTATCCTATCCTATCCTATCCTATCCTATCCTATCCTATCCTATCCTATCCTATCCTATCCTATCCTATCCTATCCTATCCTATCCTATCCTAAACTTCCTAAATAAAGCTTGCCAGCACTTTCAATTCCCCTTAGGCCAGGCCTCAAGGGACAACTGCATCAAATTCTAGCACTGCAACTCTCACTTCTGAAAGATTAATGCAGCAATCTATCATTTTTATATACAAATGTAATTGCAGCATTATAAACAGAAAATGGAAATTATTTTTCTGTTAAAGTTATTCTTGGTAACACTTCTGATTGTAAATCAAAAAATCAGCTATTGCTCTGTTTTCCTTTCTTGTAGGCCTTCTTGCTGGTATTTTTACCAGAACATATTTATTGTATGTTAACAGAGATCTAACAGATACAGATGTATTTCATATCCTGTGGCAGATCTCTACCCTTCAAACCTTCCCTAATGACCTACTGTTAAACAGCTGAATGTTTTTAAGTTCGTACATTTTTGCTTGTCCCAGAAAGCAAACATGCATGAACATACACACATACATTTGCGTGTAATCAATGTAAATTAATCACTACTAAAGATACTGAACTTATATTAGTAGGTATAATAAGCTTCAATGAAACAGTCTAATAACAATGACTTCTCTCAGCAGAATACTGCAACCGTATTTTCATTCACAATTCAAAATGCACTCCCTCTGTGCAGATACCTGCACACTGGAGACCTGAAAAGCCACCGTGGCCAGGACCTTCACAGCAAAGCACTACGCAGCCTTTTAGCCACAACTGTGACAACGCTGGTCACGTTTGCAGAAGCCTGGATGTGTTTTTCACTAGCGGTAAGTTCATGGAGTGATAGCTGTGTTTCTTTGTCTTCTGTTTCTCTCACTGAGTATTACCACATGCTCAAGCTCTTTATGAAAAGAACTAAAGTCGTGGTACTGCAGGACACAGGTTGTGGCAGTCAGCGCATGCAGGGACTCCTCCAGCCGGTTTTACAGCGAGGCCCAGAGGAAAACAGGGCTTTAGGAGATTCCAAGCAGGTTACCACTGAAGGTCTGGCATCCTCTGTTACACCAAGGTAAACTTTCCAAACGTGCAGGGAAATATTTTTAGGCAAAAACTCTGTAGGTGTTCGTTGGCTGTCAACGAGCAGCGTGAACACACTGAGATACCAGCCCCTCCCATAAATCACATCCTTCGCTGTTTGCTAATTGCTGTCGCTGTGACTGCTGGTTAGTAGCTACAGCGCAGGTGTACAAACAATAGCACTTCTCCTTCTTTTAATTTCCTTGCAATTCGTATGGTTTTTTCCCCCATGACACTGAACATGTCTAGCATGTTCCATGTACTTGATTAGTAGAAGTCAGATTTTGGTAGACACATCTTTCCCAGGGCAGGAGAAGAGAGCGAAACTGGGATTCAGAGCCCATCAATCTCTGCTAAAAGATCTGACAGTGACCTGGCAAAAAAACCCAAGCTTCTGTGCCTCAGCATCCACTATTTCCAGCCAGCTGTCTCACATTAATATTGTGAGTCTCCTGTATTGTTCTGAATAATGTATATATAACTCAGGTAAACGATTTCAAGGAGTAGAAAGTACTGTCATGGACACTAACTTCCCGTCCTCTTTACTACAAGACACACTCCAGCTGCGTGTCACCCTTCCATACTTACTGTTGAGTTCCTCTGAAGACACTGCATATGAATTCTTCCTGCAATTAATGATGCAGCCACAGGGCAGGTGGGTCCAGTGTTCTGACAGGACAAATACTGGGGTGACTGCAGCACCCAGCAGAGTCAGCAGGAAGCTAAGCGTCTCAGAAGAAAGGCTCTGAAAGCCAGTGATGTGCTGGACAACCATTTGTATCTGAAAGGCAGAGAGCATTTTGAAATTTAAATCACTTCAGGCACATGAGATACTTCCAGGAATAAACAGAACATCTCACCATGAATATGACACAAGTAAAAGACACAGGTTGTCATTAACGTTTGCTGAGCCTAACAATTATGTTTCTAACAGAGTGGAGAAAACACACTGACAGAGGCTCTCCTCCTCATTCTGCATTTCTCAGAAAAGCCCTTGCTTAAGCTAAATATAGCTGCCTGAGCACTATTAAAACAAGCAACTCACAACCCAAGCAACACAGAAGAGACTGCTAGCTCAGTCTCTCTTGCATGGTGCTGAGCAACCCCAATGGGGAAGAGGGGAGAGAATGTGGCACCGCACTGCAAATGCTCCGTAATGCTCTCTTTCC